CAACGCCACCCACAAGAATCTGCTATGTGGTGCCTATCTTGGCATCTTATGCTAGCAATGTGTGACACAATGTTCGATGGGACTAAAGCCGAAATCGAAGAAAGGTTCCAATGTACATTGGCAGCCATAATGTCAGCAAAGTGGGGATAACGGAGTGGGATTGAGGAATCAGAAACGTGGTCCGTTAAAGTGTCAACTTTAGGGATGCAAATGTCATCCCAAACTGAAACCGTTGAACCATCACCAATTGATCAGGCTATGTTTGGTCTTAGTTCATCCCAAATATTAGTGAGTGCACGTCAAAGAGAAGAGCATGAAGTACGTTTAATGGAGGATGGGAGGAGACCCTGAAGGCCTGAACTTCATTTTTTTTTGTCAAAGGAATTTAACCCATAAAACATCCATTTCGGTGATCATTGCAACGCTAATTTTCATGAGAAAGGCTTTATCATACCCGTAAGATCGAGAACACCTAGGCCACCATGATCAAGAGGGTGGCAAACTGCCTCATAGTTGACTAGAGACAGTTTATGGGAAGACGGAGAAAATCCCCATAATATAAAACTCCGAATAATCTTCTCAATTTCGTTATAGTTTGAGTTGTATGTTAACATGTTGCCTAGGGTATGATAAAATATAATCCTAGAATCCAGTGGTAGATTCAAAAATATTTTTCAAGATAGTCACACATATGTTAACAATGTAAAATTTTTAAATGGATGGTACAAATAAAATTTTAGGGTGGGCATCGTCTGTAAAATAAGTAACAAATCGAAGAAAACTCATATTTCAGGTGGGCACGAAAAAAATTCAAGGTGGACACAATTAGTAAAATAAGTAACTAATCAAATAAAATTCGGATTTTAGGGTGAGGATGTGCCCACCTTCACCAAGTTATGGCTCCATGCCTCCATCACTACTATAATCTCAAAAGATTACCATAACTCAGTTAGTATATTAATGTTCAACTCAAACGACCGTTATTTTTTAACAGAAAATGACAAATTTGAAACATATCAATAGTCAGGTGACCATTTTGTAACTCTTAATAGTTAATGGACTCAAAAATCAATGTCCTATAGTCGATGATCATTTGTGTACTTTACCCTAAATTGAACTACATAAAATTAAGAGTAAACTATACCAGAGACCACCCAAATACAACCCATTTTTATTTTGACCATCATTTTTGAATTTTTGTCAATCAGAACATCTAACTATTTAAATACATTCAATCAGATCACAAGCCGTTAACCGCTAACGAAAGAACTGACATGACGGCTAATGAAATTAGTATAATTACATATTTGGTCATTACTATTTATACATTATTTCAATTTGGTCATAATTTTAATTTAATTCAATAAATTTAACCTTTAATTAGATGATGATATGTGTCTAATAAAGTGGTGACATGTGTCACTAAGCTATTTGAGGGAATCAAACCAACAACCTAGTTTTCTTGTTAGCACCGCCTGAACCACTGGGCTAAGCCCTTCAATTGGTTCAAATTCGGGACTTCAGGAGTGAACAGGCGTGCACTAACCACTAAACTAAAACTAACATTTGGCATAGAATCTACAACAAAATATATTTAACTTGGATTATATAGATCTATCATCAAAAATTTTTAAGCAAATTTAATTAATGGTTTATAACTATATAAATTATATATATTTAAAATGTAATTAGTCTAAGATTTAAAATAATAATAAACTCAATATATATATATATATAAAATAATACTTTTAAAATAAAATTAAAAATTAATTTTATCAATGCTTGAATTCAAATTTTAAATTATATTTTTATATAATCAAAGTATAATTTTAATTTATTTAACATAATTAATATTTTTTATATATATAATTATAAAAATTATTAATTATATTAAAAATAATTTAATGACTATATATAAAAATAATAAATATAAAAAATCTAAATTTAACTTTTTTTTTGTAAAAAAATGTTAGTTTTCTTTTCTTTTCTTCCTCTGCCATTAGTTATAATAAATTATATATTGAAACCTCTTTCTCATTGGAAGATTGGCAAATGGTAAAAGGATTGGAGAGGCTGAGGAAAGAGAGACTCAAGTAGGGTAATAGGCTGATGCATGATATTGGTCAGCAGGAGCAATTGAAAAGCAAGGCTGCTATGAGAATGGCTTTTGCAAAACCAAAATGGTTTGCTATGATCCGAGCTTCCATAATTGGCAAACGGTATTATTTTTAAATATTTCGACTATTAAAAGTTACAAAATGATGTTTTATTTTGTTAAGTTCATCGACTATTAAAATTTATAAAACGGTCACCCGACTATTTACTATATTTTAAACTCGTCTTTTTTTTGTTAAAGATGATTGTGATATGACAGTTGTTTGAGATTGCGAGATCGCTATTTTTTTTAATGAAAAATGATGAGTTTGGAACATAATGAATAGTTTGGTGACCATTTTATAATTTTTAACAGTATATGGACTTAACAAAGCAACATTTTATAATTGAAGGACCATTTTATAACTTCTAATAGTTGAGGACCAAAAATAAATGTTTCGGTTAAAATATCTTTAAATAAACTTTAATGCCAAGTTTTGTAAATGAAGAAAATACCATAGCTTGAATTGTGTTAAAAATCCAAAACTAATAAAGAAAAGAGACACCTGGTGTGGATATATATAACTGGATACATCATTGAATTTGTGTCTCCATGTCGGAACCGTCTTTCGGTTGGGCCCCGGAATTGGGCTTCGACTTGGATTAAATGAATTGGAGTCGCCACCGACCACTTTGAAACGAATTTAGGCGGGTCGGACACCATCTTACCTGATCTGCGTTATACCAGAAATGTGTCGGGTTCGGGAGTCGGTTACGGTCAAGGAAAGATTAGCACCCTTGAACCGCCCTTTCGGTACCAATTAATTTATCGGTTGTCTTTAATTACGAAAATTAAAAATTAAAATTAAAATTTAAAAATTTAACTCGAATTGCTTACCTTTGATTGGTTAGATTCCCTTTAAAAAAATCAAGATAAATATTAAATGGTGAAATATATAAATATAAAAAAAAAATAAAATAAAATAAAAATAAATAAATAAATAAATAACTAAAGGTAAATGAAATTAAGAACATTAAAAAAAACCCTAGGGTCCCAGGCCCTCACTTCGCCGCCTCTCTAGCAATAAATCTGGTCTTCCACTTGGCTCCACTGGAATCCATGGTGCAAATGAAGGGTTTGTCTTCATCTCCTAATCCAACAATTACAGGTTGGCAGAAGTATGGACCAAATATGATCAAAAGGGTCATCACTGGTTTCACTAGATTTGCATAATGATCTTACAAGCTTCATTACATAAAGCCCTTGCATCTTGTCATCTACAATCTGAAGCAAAGACGAAATACCATCATCCAACTGTGTTAGATTAATAAGGAGCATAACCAGCATCCGACTAATACTAGAGCCTGGTTTATAAAACAAATCCATGGCTATTTTAATCATCCCCATTTCAACCATCTTGGCGGCCAATCCTGCATTTTGGGACAGATTTACGAGAGCTTCAGCAGCTGGTTCTGAAACTTCCTTGTCGTCACCAAAAAGCCGAGACAACGATGGAAGCACGGAGCTGTCATAGTTGGAAAGCGAGTGCAAGCCATCTTCAGGCCCTGTTAATCCTCGCACAATATCGACTGCTGCCTTCTTCACACGAGGAGAAGGGGCAGCGAGGAAGCCTATTAGCTCCTCCAGTTCGGTCCCCATTATCCTTCCTCCGTTGATGTTTTTGTTGCTGGAACTGGTGACGTTGAGGCTCTAAAAGTGCAGATTGGAAGTGGAGAACGTGTAGCAGCCACGTTGAAAGTCATTCCCATGTTAACCTTATACGAGCTCCTCAATCAGCTTGATTAATCAAGCAAAGAACTAAGTGCACCGCTAACGAGCCGAGTGCAACTGGATGGTGAATGAAAAACGGAAATGAAAGGGTCGATGCCTTCTCCGGCTCGAGAATGTCTCACTAAATTGTTGGCCAGACTTGAAAGCCCAGCTTCTCTTCAGCAACTTCACTGAATCCGCCCTTTAAATTTCTCCTGTTGAAGCTAAACTCCGCGGATAGTTGATCAAAACTAAGTAATCTTTTTCAAAACGTCTCTCTTGATATCAACGAAGAAGATACCCAGCTTTAGATATTCTGTTCCATTTTTTTAACTGAGCGGCACCGAGAACTGATTCAGTTCGTCCCCTTTGTTTTTGTTTTCATCCCCTTTTAATGCCCAGAAGCAAAGCAGAAAGCTACCATCGAGAAGCCCCCCGTTTGTATCACAGAAGCTCTGTTTAAATATTAAAAGCACAAAGCTTTTACCATCCCCGAGCCCAGAACCCCCTTCACGTGGCCCCCTGATAAAGATTCCCACCTTCATTTTTTTAGAGAAAAAGAAGGAAACGTGCGTGGTTTTAGTTGAGACGTGGGGTGGAGTGGTAACTAATTGGATGGTGGTTTAATGGGTTATTTGTTGGTTGAGATAATGGTGGGGTAGTAGGGTTGTACATGGAGCCTACAAAATTTAAAAAAAATATTATTAATAATAATAATAATAAATAAAATAAATAAATAAGTAAATAATTATATGAAAGAAAAAAAAAATTAAACCCGGTAAAAAACGAGTGTCTACACTCCCCTTTAATGTATTTATGCAAAGCACTACCCCATTCTATATAGGTAAGGTGACCCTTTTGCCCATTTATTATCTGTTTTTTACATTTATTAGTGACCTCGCCTCGCAACTCGATTGTTTAATATATGTGACCCACATCTCTATTATCTTCTTTCTGGATAAGGACGGTTGAAAGTTCATTTTTGTCCAGTACCTAAGATTGTTTTATAAAATAAATTATTTACTACGTCGTTTAAGATTACTTAATTAGGTACGATTTGATAAATGTATTTTTTTATATAAAATACAGATATCATAAAATCTATAATATTTTAAATATTGTAAAATTAAACATCTTTAAAGTCACAATAAACTACTTGAAAATGCTTCTTCTAATGAAAAGTCATTTACAGTGCACACTCATCAAATTCAAACTCTAGAGGCTTAATTCCAAAATCCATTTCAAAATTCGGACTTATTTCCGTGCACGACGGATACATGTTAGACACCATCTCAGCAGGCTCCGAGCAATATTCGAGCTCGCCATCCCCCACTATATCCTTCCACATGATACAGTCCAAGTCGGTAACATCACTCGGCGTCGTCGATGTCTCCTCCTTCGTTTCTTTCTTTACAACCAGAGACGTCGGAGTCGGATCCGAATGCTCGTGGTGCTGGTGTTTGATCAGGATTTCGGAGTCGCCGTCATCGACCGTACCGGTTTCCCAACATTCAGAATTTGTGACGATTAGGGGAGGAGTCTTGGATGAGTAGCTCATACATGTGTGGGTTCCGATATAAGTGGTCCGATACATTTGGGAACCATCTTCCATTCTTTGGACTTGTTTGGTGGCCTGACAACCTTTATCATACTTGCGAGTGCATCTAAAGTAACTCCTGTTTGATCCAACCGTACGGTTAATTTCAATCCAGGATGAATGGGGGGATTCGAAAGAGTAATAGTCCTTAAAATTGAAGAGAGAATAAAGATCTCTTTAACCACGATATCCCTAATTGTGCTTTGTTCTAATTGACAAAGAAATGGTGAATTACCTTGGGTGTTTGGAATTGAGGATCTCTTTTTGTCCATATTTTCTCCAAGCATGGCCATCTTCCATTGTATCAGAAACAATTGTCCACGCTTGTGCAGCCCTCCTGCAATTAAAAAAAAACATCCAATTACTATTACAATCCGTGCTTGAAACAATCCAACCAAAGCTTTACTTTTTCCCGCCCGGGGGGGGGGGAGGACCAAGGTTTACTTTCTCCTGTAACAGCCTCTCTTTTCCTTAGAGGCAGCTGGTTTCTTGCGGGTGTCGGCAGAATCTTGATTAGAGGCAGTGGAAACCTCAGCAGAATCAACAGAACTCAGCGCAGCAAGCGTCTGATCGAAAGACCTCAAGATCTTGTCGATAAGTGCTTCCTTTTTAGATGATGAAAGGTGCCGGCCAGTTTCTTGGAAAAGAATCTGAAGGTGGTTTGCAGATTCTTGGCCTTGTACAAGTTCTTCTATTATCTTTTTCTTCTTACCAGACAGCCTCTGGGACCAAGCTGAAACATCACCACCCATAGAAAAAACAAATAGCTTTTCTTCTTCTTTTTTGCTGCGTTTAACCCAGAAGATATAGGTAGATAAGATCTGAGGAAAAGGGAAAGCAGATGAGAGGAAATTGTGAGGAACGAGGGGTGGTAATGGCATTGATAGGAAAACTGACTTTAAATGCTAACAAAATATAGCTGACGTTTATGCATGATGCAGCCACTCACGCCATCATCTCCCCCACCTTTTTCTCATGTTAAATTTGAGTTGTAAATAGTCCTGACTATAGGCTGTTATTTTACCGAGTCACTCAACTATTAAAAAGTTAAAAAATAGTCCTCTGACTATAGGCATCGTTTTGTTGAGTCTCGTGACCATTAAAAGTTAAAAAACGGCCATCCAACTATTCATATGTTCGAAACTCGTCCTTTTTGGTTAAAAATTTGACATCTACCTGAGTTAGACATTAACTTGATGACATAATACAAACGGAGAATTGATCTATAAAATACATCTCAAATATTTATGTGATCATGTTTTATCATATCTCAGTCAACATATTAACGTCCAATCCATACAACTATCAATTTTTAATGAAAATGATAAATTTGAAATATATAAATAGTTGGGTGACCATTTTATAACTTTTAATAGTCATATAACTCAACAAAACATCAAACTATAATTACGGGACCATTTATACGCTTTACCCATAGATTTATTTTGAAAGCTAAATTAAACTATTATTATTTAAATTATTTAAAACTTAAATTTGTAACTTCACAAAATAAATAAATAAAAAAATTAATTATTAATTTTGAATAGATTAACTCAGATCCATTATCCATATAAATAGAATAAATTTGAATTTGTTGCAAATAAAAATATATTTAAATATGAATAATATTAAAAAAATATTTAAATTTACCAACAATCAGTTAGTTTAGTGAAATAAGACACGACTCCTTAAATAAAACCTGTGGTTAAAATTATGACAACCGAAAATGAAATAAATTGAGTTTAAAAAATCGTGTTAATAATGAATATGTATAAAGTTCGATCTGAATCAATTGATTAATAAATTAGACGACGATACTTAATTAAGAAGATATTCAAAATTCACGAGGTTTCATGGTTAGAAAGGGTGTGGGGAAACTATTTCATGTTTGAAATTTCGAGCTGGGGTAGCTCTTGTCTCGGTGATTGTTATTTGACTGTGGAACAACTAGTGGGAGCCTTAGTTTTAGGGTTCTCCATATTTTATAATCTTAGGCGTTGAGATTGAGATATAATAAAGTGGGAATGGAATAGTAGGAGTAATAATGAAGGCACTAGAAATGAATGGTGAGTGATAATGAATGCCAGCTTCCACGAGTTTTCCTCCCCCTTGCTTCTAGATCAACGTGCATATTTGGATTCCAAATCTTTACTAAATAGTAAGATACGGTAACGGACGGGCCAGAGTAGAAAAGAATATAGGATGGATAATTTACATGTTTGGCTATTTAATTATTATTCTTGTTCTGTTTTAGTCACTCTATTATTATTATTATTATTATTTCTAAAATTATCGATAACGTTATTGATTGGGCTCATTACTATTACGCGCAATTTCTGAATTCATGCATTCAACAAAAAACATGCAACATCATCACCATAGACAAAAAACTGTTGGAAGGAAATTCAAGCAGCCATTCCCTGGAATTTTAATTCACTTCCTTCTCAAGGTCCTTTATCCTCAATTTTAATTCATCCTCTACGTTCTTTGCATGTTTTGATCCTGAAATCAGCTGCCGATGTTCCCTGCTTAATTGCTGTAAATGCTCCTCCATTTGCCGAATCAGCGAATCTCTGGAACGAACCTCGGCGACCAGAGTGTTTGCCTTTGCAGTAACTCCATCTTTCTCTGCCGTAAGCATATCATATTTTAATTTCACTTTGTCAAGGTCCTTAGTCAGAGCTTCTACATGTACAGCTTTCGCTTTGACTTCTGCCCTTAGCTGACTTATCTGACCTTGCAACATGGTTTCTTGAACATCATTCAAACCTTTCGTTTCCATTTTTTCTGTTTCACATTGCCTTAACTTCTCCTCCAGTAGTCTTCCGTGTAACTCCCATTCCTTGAGTATTGCCTCTAAGTGGGTATCTTTTTCTAACAGGCCAAAAGTTTCAGACTGGAAACTTGCATTCCGCATAGAGAAATTATCCATGGCATCACATAATGCACCCTTTAATTCCTTGGCTTCACGATCACGATTAGATAGATCATCCTTGTACCTCAAAATCTGCTCCGGTAAGTTCACAACCTGCCTCCTCTCTGTCTAGTTGGGCTTTTAATCTTGCTATCTCTTCTTGGGAAGACTCAAGCCGGCCTGGCACATGATGCGCATCATCAGAAACCTTCTTCCCAAGCTCATGCTTCAACATTGTAATCTCTTCTTCTAATGCATTGATCTTTTCTTTACTTCCAGCAAGCTCATCCATCAACCTCGAAGCTTCGGAGTTCGAGTCTGAAACATGAGCTTCCAGCTCAACTACCTTCCCCTTCTCCAACTCAAGTTCGGCTTCCCTTATTTTCATGTCCCTCAGCAATGATTCGAGTTGGACAGTCATGTTTTCAGCAAGGACAGAAACAAACTCACTCTTCTTGAGCTCTGCATTCAACCTCTCAATCTCTTCTTCTGCAAGCTGGAGTTTTAGGTTGGAATTCCTTAGCTCTTCTTCACACTTGGTGAATCTTTCATTCAGTTCATAGCTTCTGTCCCCCCCCCCCCAATCTTCGACTTACCATCTGCATTCTCTCCATCAACCACTTGTATCTTCTCCGTCATTGTTGGGAGCTCACTTCCATGCTCAATAATTTTGTGATGCTCTACCCTGTTATCAGCATCCATCACTGAACTCAAGTAGATGTTGACAGATGAGCTGAAAGATTCGGAGTCAGAATCTGATGAGAATGAAGATGATTCGGTGCCTTCTTTAAATGACAACTCGAACAGACTTGGGTATACCCATCTTTTTATCAGGTGTAACCATTGGAGAGTTTTGATCCAAACCACCATCAGGGCCTTGAGTTAGGAAATCAGAAGGTACACTTTTGCGCAATTCACCGTTCAAATGATCGTAGCGCTCAGCCAGAGACTGATAAATACGGCGGAGTTCCTGAACTTGGTCAATCACCTCATATTTAATCTGATAATACAACAACAACAAAACCCTATTCTCATATGCAATATTTAATCTGATAATGCTCTTCAATATTCCCTTCCACCAAGTTCATTATTTGATTAACATTCTGGTTCATTTCTGCAGCCAAGAATCTTACATCATTTACAGGTCATGGGATCATTAGATAATTTGTTAGATTGGAGATCAAGATCACCAACAAGAATCTATAATCAACCCAATCGGAGATATGCTAATCATGTGAGATTTAAACCGACAAGAATAACGAACCATAAATGCATTAACTTCAAAAGTAGGCTGCTTACCTTTGAAATTTCCTGCCAACCACCCAGAATTCTCAGGATTGAGATGACTATCCCACCAACAAGAATTCATGCCCTCCGAATCAACCTTGTTCGTATTTACTTCCGTCTGTCTTCAAACAATATAAACAACGTTGTATAAGATTTCCCGAAAATAAACTTGTAAAGAGAAAAGAAGGAAAAAGAAAGCTCCAAAAGAAGAATAACAGGTCGATTCTATTCTTGATGCCCACACAAAGAAATAGTTTAATTCACTTATTTAGGATGAATTAATTAGTAGGCAAAGATTTGTTAATTTTGTATTTAGAAAAATTAACACTTCCCACAGTCACATTAAAGATAAAAATTGAAGTTGCAAGCTTATGTTGCGGAAGACGGCTATCGGATATAGCAAAATCGCAACTGATAATTTGAGAAAATAAAAATAAAGATAAAAGAGACACAAAATTTATGTAGAAAACCCCTAAAATATTTAGGGTTAAAACCACAGGCAACGGTAGAATAATTTCACTGTGAGAAAATAGGAATTACAACCTCTATCGATCTACCAAGAAGAAAACAATGATAATTCTCTCTAGATAAAAAGGAGAAACAACTCTCAAGAAACTCTCTAAAATCTCTCTAGTATTGGAAGAAAGCTAAAATGCTTTAGGATGATTTTGAAGCTAAATGAGCTAGGGTATTTATAGTTGAAACTTAAAGACTAATTTGTAAATATCCTAAATTACAATAACTAAAATATAGGATTTTACCATATTTTTTTTTCAACAAAAACAGCACCTTTCGGTGCTCCCCTTTGACAAAGCCATGTGCACCCATGTGCACCGTTTTTTTTTCAACAATCTCCCACTTGAAGATTTGATTGGAACAATCATATCTTCACACCATTCTTTCTACCTTGTACCTTTATGTTGCTTACGTCTCTGACAGGCCACAAGAGGATCGACACCAAGTAAATTTATCAGCGTTAATCGCCTTCGTTATGAAATCTGCTATATTGTCTTTGGTATGGATCTTCTGCATATCTACCGTCCCTTCTTCCACCTTTTCACGAATGAAATGGTACTGAACTCGTATGTGTTTTGTCCTTGAATGAAATGCTAGATTCCTTGCTAGATGCAAGATGCTTTGACTATCGCAAAACAGAGAGACATACTCTTGATTGTGCCCAAGTTCCTCAAATAGCATCTTCAACCAAATTGCTTCTTTACTGGCTTGTGTAGCTGCTACATATTCTGCTTCTATTGTGGATGTAGCCACAACTGACTGCAATTTTGAAACCCAGCTTACAGCTCCACCAGCAACTTTGAACACATATCCTGTAGTAGATTTGCTTTTATCCAAATCCCTGCATAGTCAGAATCTACATACTCATTGATTAGTAAGTTTGATCATCCGTAACATAATGCAACATTTGAGGTCCCTTTAATGTATCTCAGGATCCTTTTTACTGTATTCCAATGCTCTTTGCCTAGATTCGCCATGTATCGACTAACCACTCCCACTGCTTATGCAATATCTGGTCTTGTGCATATCATAGCGAACATAAACTTCCCACTACTGATGCATACGGTACTCGAGACATCTCCATCCTCTCTTCTTCACTGCTAGGACTCATACTGGAGGATAATTTGAAGTTAATAGGAAGAGGGG